CCGGGGGAAAATCTATGTTAAATCCACATGAGGGGCTGGCCGCTGGCCTAAATGGAAGAGTTATCTGTGCTCATTTTTTAAGCAAGTAGTTCAGATTCTGTTCTCCCAAAAGATGATCCTATATAACTTAGATACAAGATTGAGCTTCACCCAAGTCGTACCTATACATGTGATATGCTGTTAGGTCGTAGTTTATAGGTAATAGCTATACTAAATATGATGGAGAAAGAAGGCATTTGTTTAGAGATGAAAATTGTAACTGTAACTATTACTTGCACATGTATCCAACCACTATGAACCGTGCTGAAATATGTAAACTGAAGTTCACAACTAACTATTATTTGTACTAGGTGACTATTTAACTGCAGTAGGAGAAAAAACCTATAATTTGGCTTGAGTTTCTAGAAAATGGATGTCTACACTTGCTGATTACAAATCATACTGCACAACAGCTTCACATATTTTCTCCACTTGCCTAATTACATGGTTGTTATATTTTTAGGAAGTGTTGGGTAGTCTTTGGCTTGAGTTTCTAGAAAATGGTTCTGCACATAACCTGGTGGAGGTTCTAGCGTTGGCAAGCCATTGCTTTTAGTTTTTGAGTTCCTAGAAATGATTGTGTGCACAAACCTTAGTATGTCAAACACAAACTACTAGTATTGCTTGCTGGGTGTGCATTCATGTGATCTTTTGGTGGCTGACCTTGTTGGATGATGTATTATGCAAGACAAGATTGTATGTTATATATGTATTGATCTCCATGTGAAGTATGTGTTTCTATATCTTTATGCGATGGACCTTAAGCTTGAATCTGGGTATGATATGTGCTACATATTTTCTCATTGTATTTATTTTTTTATATATTTATATTGTCCTGTAGAACAATACGTCGCTATAAATACATGGACTGTTGGATGATCTGTCGGTATATGCCTAGTAACAGAGCATCTGCTACCAAAAAGTAGCAATGGACTATCTGTCGCTAAAAAAATTCAGGGCAACGGACTATCTGTCGTTGAAAGTACTATCTATCGCTAAAGATTTTTAGCGCCAGGACTTACACCGTCTGTAGAAGTCTGTCGCTATAACTTTTTAGTGTTAGATTATCTATCGTTGTAGCCGCTTTTAGCGTCAGACCATCCATCGCTAATCTTAGTGTTGTGGTGTAGTGAAATTAGTTCATAGTTCAAAATCTACCAAACAAAATTTAGATAGGGTAAATTTCTTAGCTTCCTGCATGGTGGTAGATCATAGATCGACAACTAAAAGTGGTGCAAATACCACACACAAGTAGATCGACCTCAATCATAGAAATCACCTCAACAACAACAAGAACACAAGTGTAGCAACACAAGCACAAGATGACACAAGGATTTATCCCGTGGTTCAGCTCGCCACCAAGGCTTGCCTAAGTCCACGTTGTTGAGGTATACCACTAAGGCTTAGGGATTTGCAACCCTACCTCGTTCTCAAGTCAAGAGAGTGAACTCTTGAGATGAGAGGTGATTTTACTTGTTGCAAGAGGTGGTTACAAACCTCTCGGGGCTTCCACACAAATTGGCAAGCTCTACGGGCGACGCTCTAGCCGGTTAGGAGCCAAGCTCTAAGAGTAACAAACACAACCGCTGGCTAAGACATGAACCAAGTGCTCTTTAGAGTTGAGGAATCAACGGAGTTACTCTCTAATCAAGTTGTGGACCCTTTTCCCTCAAGGATTGATGGGGAAATCAATGGATTTGCTTGGGGCTTGAGGTCAACAATGGAGTTAGAGAGAGAGCTCCTGCTCTGTTTTGGGCATGCTGAAGTGAGAAAGAAGAGAGCATGTTGTTTTCCTTACCGTTGGGAAGAAAGGGAAAAGGTATATATATATCCCCCAGCCCCAACGGTCACTTTAAATCTCAGATAGCCATTGGTGAGGAAAGGGAAAGGTATATATACCCCTAGCCCTCAACGGACACTGCACCCAAAAGGTCGGGCAAGACAAGGCCGCGACCAAAGGGTCGGGCGAGCTAGAGCCCGAGACCTTGGGGTCGGGTGAGACAGAGCCCGCGACCAAAGGGTCGGGTGAGCCGGAGCCCACGACCTTGGGGTCGGGTGAGACGAGTCCGCAACCAAAGGGTCGGGCGAACCGGAGCCCGTGACCTAGGGGTCGGGCGAGTCGGAGCTCGCACCCAAGGGATCGGGTGAGTCGGAGCTCGCACCACACAAGATAGCAAGGGTAAAAGTGAAGTGTAGATTGTCTTGGCTGTGAATTTAAGGATGTTTGTGGTTGTTAGAGCACTTGGCAGCATATATTAGCTTAAGCATTATGTCTCTCTTTATAGTACGACTTTTTCTATACTCAAATTCAAGATATAAAAGAATTTTAAACCTCTTTTGAGTTTGAAGCCATCTATATTTGTAATTGGGGGCTCCTCCGTTTGGTGTAGCATCCTCAAATATAAATTCACTGCTTGTCATCTCAATAAATCTCATTAGTTCTCTAATTGTGTGGTTATTATCACCAAAAACCACAATTAAGGTTTGATTGCACTTTCAATTAAGCCGACAGGGTTGCCTGTTCATGTTTGTCCTGTCTATGTCAATTAAGGGCCATTCGTTGTTGGCCCTTGGATCAAGATTTTGTAGTACCGGCCACATACTCCAGTAAGCATAATAACTTGGCTATTCCATTACGTGAAAAGACAACCGCGCACTGGGAATAGGAGATGGCGAGACTATCGAGTACCCACCCTGCGGAAACATTTGGGATGACGTTGGGCGGTGGAGTACAGTACCCTCGGGTAGCTGCGGACCGGTTCACATTTTGGTGGATCCTAGTGAGGGTTGATATGTGTAGGTCCGGGACCTGCATATGTCGTGTGGCTGGGAATCCCCAGCTAGGTTTTTTATCGGTTCGAATCGCCGTTTGCTCTACGGTAACAGGAGACTTGATTCTTGCACCATCATTGTAGTTAATCAATGAAACGATGGTATCTATGATCATGAGATGTGATGAATAAAGAAGTTTAGATCAGGTGCTAATGAGAGACTTGTTATCACTTAACCTGAGCTAAAATATCAAAAGCAAGGATCAATTATTAGTAAGCTTTTCTGCAAAAGTTAATCTTGATTCTTGCTTCAGACTTACCTTGATTCCCATAAGTCCGCATATCTTGGAGTCTTTCCTTTTTGTCGGTTAAGTCTTGTTGAGTACCTTTGTACTCAGGGTTTGTTAAACTCTTATTGCAGGTGAACCTCAGTAGCACATAGGCTTTTCCCATGCTGTATGACGGTTCTGGAGGAAGAGAGCCAGCAATAAAGCTAGGTTGTGGTGCACCCTTGGGCTGGGTGAAAATCTTTTGGTGTAATGTAATAGGTGGTACTGTCATGCTAACCTACTGCCTTGATGGCTAAAACTTATGGTTTGTAATAACTAAACAAATGGTTTATAAACTTATGGTTTGTAAGACTTCCGTTGCTATTCCGATGTAATATATTTGTATATTTGTATAACCTGTTGTAATACTGCAATGCCTTCTGTGATGTATCCTGTTTGGAAAGAAAAAGTGGATGATTCAGATTTCCCGAGGACACCGGACAGACTACCGGGATTGTGTGGCTTAAGTGTGCAACAGTCAGAAGTCCGTGAGACAATCACGGGCACACGTGGGCCGTATAATTTGGGTGGTTTCTGCCACACAACGCGTGCTCAGCGTCATGCAGTATGTCGACGAACCCCGTGGCCAGGATGACCCCGGCGACGAATGCCTTGGCCGCCAGGAACATGGCGTTGTTTGTGCGTAGCACGCGCCACTTCCACAGTTCCACCCCACGAGCGGTAGGCCCACGCCGAGCACATTGGCCACCAGTATCACCGCCATGCCGGCGGAGGCTGGCGAGAGCCATGGCCAAAGACGAAGAATCCATGACGCGGGCCACGCAGTTGACGTGATCCATCTCGGCGACCGAATCAATAGCGCCCGACCGAATCCTTGACGCCGCGCTGGCCACGCCGCACGCGTCGCCGCCTCTGTTCTGCGACCTCGAGGAGCTGGAGGGCCGACCCGAACGAGGCGCTCCGCTTCCTCGGCGGCTGCGATGCCGCGCTCGGCATCTGGGGTGCTGGCGGCTTGGGCAAGACCACGATGCTGATTGCTGAAGCTGCTGCCCTCCACGCCTTGCGCCCCCTTGGCGGCCACCGGAGAGAGAAGATGGAGGAGAGAGAGGCATGAGAGAAATTGAAAGAGAAGGGTATTTTGGATGTTTTGTTTGCCCGGACCCACATGCTAGGCCTGCTAAACCGTGAAAAGGCAACAGAAGGTGGACGGAATGGTATGGAGGGCAAAAAAAGTTTCGGCCAGTGACACCTGTGTCCACTCAAACTTTTTAATGGCTTATGAGTAATTACCAACTTTTATAATGGTGCACAGGTAATATGGTGACATTTTTTTTTACTGTAAAAGGGTTTTGCTGGAAAGGCACGTTCAAAACCACTAAAACCAGTATAGTTTAAACCGTGGAGCACGTGCTGTCAATTTGGTACCATGTCATGTACTCGTGGTAACCAGAGCCTTCAACCAGAGCTAACCTCTCAGACAGATGAATGGTTGAATATAGCTACTGACCACTGTTACCTCTCAATCCAACTTGTTTTTGTCCTGGATTCTGTCTCCTGTTTCCATACTGCCAGAACAGTAATGCAGTAGCTACCTTGGCCCTTAGAAGAACTACAATTGGGGGTTTATGGGTGCTAAGCCACTATGAATAAATAACGCTCCTGTTCCACAAAAAAAAGAATAAATAACACTCCTGTTAATAGCTCGTTCAAATGTTATACATGGAGCATGGTCATGCATTGAATAACCGTACAGGCAAAGCATTCAGGCTCCAGCCAGAAAAGCATACATCAGTCCCAGCTCAGTGCGGGCAACAGATTACCAATATCCAAAGTCAGTACTAACATCTAACAGTTCAGGGATCATAAAAGAAATCAACAACCCATACAACATCAACAGAGCTCAGAGGCTGACTTCTCCATCGCTTCCCTCATGCTTGTTGTCCCAGAGAAACCCTTTCCCAGACCGTGGCCTCTTCACTCGCTTTGAGTATGAGGCACTGGATGATGTCTGCTTGTTGCCGGAGCGCCTTGGTGGTTCTTCATCACTATCCTCATCCACATCTTCAGTTGAAGTATACTCATCGTAGTCCAATAGTTTTTTTTTCTTGCATTGAAAGTCCTACTTCCTCACTAATGTTTGCTCGTGCTGTATGAAAAGCATGATTTTCACCTTGTTCAGCACAGTCGCGAGACCTGCCCACCAGCCATTCAAAAGGTTCATCTTCATCAGGAATGTATGCAAGTACAGGATCTCTGTTTGTCATTTGAGCTTTCCCTTGTATCCTCCTGTTTACCGTCACAAACATTGAATCCTCGAATTGCTTACGTTTAACCCAACAAGGTTTCTTATTATGAAGCTGAGTAGGGGTCAAAGAACACACATGGGATGATGACAGCTTGAAGAATTGGCAGATAGATACTTCAAACTAATGTATCACTATGTTACCTTCTTGATCCAACTTTCCTCATATGCCAGTGAGCCACAAGTTAACCTCAACAGCCTCATTGCCATTGTGCTCAACTCCTTTGCTGCAACGCCATGTAATTCCCACCAAGAAACTACAGATAGGGAAAATGTTACCTTGAATATTGGACTACAAATAATCATGACTGCAAAAATGACAAACAAACCGAGAAATAACTAGAGCTTCCTCCCAAATGAAACTTACCTGGATCGAGATTCATTTTAGTATGAATGATATGAGCCGTTTTGAAACTCTGACGCAGTTCTGTAAAGATTCAATTGATTCACAATTTTCTCTTGTGTAGGTTGATCTTGGTACAATTTATGTATACACTCAACAACTGCACCTCTGAAGATTCCGGCATCTTCAATATCATCTTTGGATTGATAGTAAAGAATGGATTCAGATAAAAACCAGCTAGGTGCAATGGTGTCTTAAGGGCATCATTTAATCTGAAATCTATCTCATCCCATATTGGCAAATAGTGTTCTTCCTTGTTCTCAAAACGCAGGGCAATTTCTCTTTTAGCTTTTGCAAGCTCACCATATATATACCCCATAGAGGGTCTGCTGCCACCCATCCTCCTCAGAACATCCACTAGTGGTTCAAAACTGTTTATAGTATAAAGCACTCCATGCCAGAACTCATTCCTAACTACTAGGTTATAGAATTTCTTGTCCACAGCTCCATTTGACCATTTGCTGTCCTCCCATTCTTTGGAAATAAACATACCCTTCAACTCAATCCTCTTGTCATAAATGCTCTTCAAGTTTAAGAGACAAGTGGTGTAATAACTGATCCCAACATGAACTAGATCCCACTGGCTGGTGAACTGACGTGTCATGGCCAACAAATTTGTTTGGCCATAAATAAAAGCAGTGAGAAACCTTGCCTTAGCAATTGTTTTCCTGATCAAACGAATAGTGCCAATGTCTTCAAGCATTGAGCCAATGATATCTGCAGCACAGTGAGTCCAAAATATGTTGGGCCTCTTTTTAAATAAGCATTCTTGCTGACAACATTTCTGAATTAATATCTGTGACAACTTGAACCACACTGTTCACTCCAACTTCTTCAATACAAGAGTCAACTTGTTCAACAATATATGATTGACGGAACGAAGGAAAAACACACCCTGCGAACAATGGACTGCTAAGTTTAGCACGAAACATTCATTATCACCAATCCCTGTATTAACAAGAAGAGAGCATCCTTCCAATGCACAAGATTTCTTCATTGCTTCAACTGAATCATTAATAGCTAGAACTTGTCTCTGTAATAATGGCCCATCAAGCTCATCCGGAGAGGGGCCCTGTAAACCAGGGTCAAATTGTCCAATCACATCTAACATTAAGTTGAAACTCTCCAGCAAACAGTATTAGAAGGAATCCCAGATTCATTCAACCATGTGGCTATACGTTCCATAACCTTTTTCCTCTTCTTTTGCATCTGCTTTGCACTGCAGGTAGTTTGTGTAACTTGTCTTTTCTTCATTGCTTGTCCTGTAGTTGACAGAGAAGGCATAAAAAAATGGTCGTTCAGTAAACAAAAGCAAGAAAAAGCTACATATGGCGCCTTGCATTATAATTCAGCATCATTTTGATGTGCCTGTATAACTACACATTACAGATAATCCTCACGGTCCGTCGACTACAGACAGCAAACATTATTTTTTTCATTTATTTAAAGTCATCTCCTTAAGAAACACTCCTACCATGAACTATTAATACTTGACACAAGTGACAACTGACAACAGATTTATATAAAATCATCTCTGAAGACCAGCACAGGTGTAAGGTCCACGTCATGTTAATTAACTGATCAACTTAACATAAAGCGCTTGTAACAGCACACTTCATCAACAGGTGCTACTACATTTTCTCTTTCATTATCTCCGTTCCTCAACCTTACTGTGTACAGCTTACTTTTCTAGTGTGTTAACATATTCAGTCATAATGATCTCAAAGAAAATTTTCAAGAATTGCAACGGAGCAATAGCCAGGTTAAAACTAAAACAAATCATCCATCAGGGGATAAAACCTAACGAGCATGCCAGGCCCTGTAATCAGTATCTGTCCTTCAGCTGCCCTTAGTTATTGTAAGCAATGTATGAAACACAAGAAATTAACTTGGATGCTAATCTTCAAAAAAGAGATAAAGTGGCTAACATAGCACATTTAACTAACTAATACTAAGGAAGGATGCTACAGGCCACAAAACAAGTCAGATCAAAATCTCCATCGATTGCCAATTGGTTGGGCCTCCTTATTCAGATGCGCAAGATGGTAAGCAAATAATGCTTATAGACTGGCAATGCAACCATTTTGCTTCCCCATCTCGTTGATAATCATCTCGTGACATATACACACAAAAGCACGATCTAGAACAACACAATCCGTCTGCTCCTGCTACTCCATTTTACCACCAGCCCCCGTCGCAATTTCATCATCTTAGGGCCCACAAAAGCGCATATACATAACCCAACCATATACAAAAGTGCCCCCGAATGAATGCACGTTGAAATCCCAAAATGTAGGGCCTAATCTGCATCCGTAACTAATCTCTGTCGCGCAATGGAAGAAATAACAAAAAGCAGAAGAAGAAACTTTTGCGAGCAACCCGTCCGAGGAGAAACGCATGCGAAGGAACAGACCGGGAACAAAAACCGGCTCCCCGTTACAGATTCTGTTCCAAGGCTCACCCGGGGGGGTTATTTAACTTTTAGCATGCCCCCCCCGGAATAGCAGCTCTATGTTCGGCGCTACGCTTTTAACACAGATAGAGAAAAACGATAAACGTTTATCACAGCTCCGCTGTCCAGCTTAGATCCGAGTCGGCAGGCCCAAGTAAAAAGACCTCCCTCTACCCCTGGCATCTTTATCCTCCCCGCGCGGCTGGGCCCACTCCACTCTCCCGTCTTTCTCTGCTCCGTGCAACGCCCGCCCGTCACCACCGCCGCCGTGTAAACCGCCGCATTAGGATCTGTATCGGTGACGGGCGGGTGTTGCACAGAGCAGAGAAAGACTGGGAAGGGAGGGAGAGTGGAGTGGGCCGGGCCGCGCGGGGGAGGATAAAGACGTTAGAGGCAGGGGAGATCTTTTCGGATCCGAGCTGGATAGCGAAACTGGCGTGTCATACGAGCAAAAGTGATAAATGTGTATCGTTTTTTTCTCTCTACTATTAAAAACGTAGCGCCAAATCTAAAGCTGCTATTTGAGAAAGCGCCATTAAATATCCCGGTGGTCGGAGTTGGAGGGGCTAAAAGGGTTCTGCTGTTCTGCAGAGTCACCTGCCGGCTGCCGCTCCGCTCGTGAGGACTGGAGCAGCAGAAGCAGAGCTGGAATCGGACGAGTGCGCCGGTGGCCAGCCTATTGGGCTTCTTTGTTGGGCTCGTGCTTGGACCCAAAATCGAATGACCCAAGAAGCAACGCAAACCTCATTTTCGAGGATAAGAAATACCAGCAAATATCCCTTGTGACGGGAGTGAAAAAAAAACTATCATACGTTAGAGGAATTTAAAAAAAAATGAGAATGAGAATGTTATATCTCTATTTATTTATTTTCGAAAATGCTACGGTGCGGCCGCCCGACCGTCCGGACGCCACGCTTCCTGGGCCTGTGCACTACCAGCCCAATAGGCCTGTTTTCCTCTACCTTCATTCTTTCAACGTTTCTCAAAATAAAAAAGACGACAACACTCCCAACTAGCACGGCCGTCACGGCGTTCCCTACCACTCGCCGCCCGCTCGCCTTCTCTAGTGGCGACCATCTCCGCTTCCTCCACCCCGGGGCCCTCGCTCGCCTCTACGACGCCAGGCTGCGCCGCTGGAGTTGTCTCAGGCTAGGCACATTATAACCGTAAACCGAAAACCGAGCTGAATTGTCGGTTTTTTGGTTGTCGGTTTCGGTTTCGGTTTTTGGTTACAGAAGTTCGGTCCTTGGTGTCGGCTTCAGTTTCAGCTCTTGACCGAACTGATAAACCATGGAACCGAACTCTAGGTCGAATAGAGGAGAGCGGAGAGCGCACGCACGTCCGACGGCCCAAAGGCCCAACAATCGCACGCACTGGCACCTCCCGACTCCCGTCCCTCGCACGACCACACGGCCTGCAGCCTACACCGCTGCTCGGTCGCACCCTATCCCTATCTACATGGAGGCCGGAGGGGAGCGACACATCCTCGCATCTCACGGATTCATGGCAGAGGCCGGAGAAGCGAGCGGCGCGGCGGCGCTTGGGGGCGAGGAGGCTAGCAGCGCATCGAAGGCGAGCAGAGGCCAGGCCAGCAGGCGGCGACGCATTCCCGCAGGCCGAAGAGGTGAGTGGCGCCGCTACGCTTACACTCGGGGAGGTCAGCGGCGCGTCGAAGGAAAGCCGAGACCAGCAGGTGGTGGCGCATCCCCGCATCACTGCCGTGGCCGGAGGGGTGAGCGGCACTATGGTGTGTGGGGGAATTTGGTGGGCATCTACGCTAATGAGGTATGCCTGATGGCCAGTGCGCTTCAGTTTCCTCCTGCCGTATTGTCGATCCTCTCTTGTCTGTCACTGACTCTGTTGGAACAGAAAACCGAACCTAAGAAATCGAAACCGAACTCATTGGTTTTTGATTCTATAGGCAACCGATCGGTTCATCCGTGGAAACCAAAGTTTATAGAACCCGAACAAACCGAACCGAACTCCTGGTTTAAATTGAATGCCCAGTCTAAGTTGCGTCTGCCGCCCGCCTCTGCCCTCATCACTGGAGCCAGCATCGACGTCCTTCTCGTCACCTCCTCCTACGGCTAGAGACCGCGAGGGGCGTCGCGGCCATGCTGTACTTCATGCTCGCATTGAGGCTCCATGCGCCTTGGTGCCTCCAGCGGAAGAAGCTCGCGGTAGCCAAGCCTGTGGTGCTCTTCACTCCGCCACCTCCCAGCACCGATCTGCTCATCGAGGCAGTTATCGAATTCCTCAATGCTCTTAACATGGTGGCCGCCTCCCACTAGAGTGTCGCGCCTGACATGTCGCAAGCATATGTTTCAAGTGTTTTAGATGTTCCATAGGTATGTTGCAAGTGTTTTACATGGGTGTTGCAAAAGTAGATCGGATGTTGCATATGTTGCAAAGTGTTCCAGAGGCATGTTGCAAGTTTTCAGAGTCATGTGGCAAGCGTTTATTCAAAATGTTTCATCTGTTTCAGATGTATGTTGCAAGCATTTTTGATCTAATGTTCCATATGTTTCACACATATGTTGCAAGAGTATGTTTGAAATGTTTCGGCTATTTCTGTCTTACGTTACAATAATTGTTTTCTTGTTGTAAGTTGCGAGTGTTTTATCTAGATGTTGCATCTGTTTCACACACATGTTGCAAGTGTATATTCCAAATGTTTCATCTGCTTCAGACGTATGTTGCATTCAAACGTTTAATGTTGCAAGTGTTCGTGTTTTAGAGGTATATTAAGAGAGTCATTGGGACATGGGCCCGTCACCGTGGGAAGGGGCACGGCGAGCCGAGGGCCGACAGATGGGGTGCGCGATGCGCCTGGAGTCTTGCGGACGTGGCGTGCTCGTCATCATCCATGCTCCTGGGTCCCACCCACATGGAGAGAGAGGAGGGGGTCAGGGGAAGGAGCGGCGGGCATGGGGCAGGGCGAGGCGGACAGGGGCGAGGTACGCGTGCGAGGCACGGGACGAGGCAGACGGGAAAGGACTGCAGTGATACGGTGGGAGTGCGGCGCGTTTCTAATGGGCAGTTCAGTACCGTCCGACGGAATGTTATCCCATTGGACGTTCGGATGCCAGCAGTTCCCTATTTTTTACACTTTCCATAAAATTAATAAGCTATAATTTATTTTATGACAATCATGAGTCAAAGATATAGGTTAATATTGGCAATAATATGGTAAAATTGGATTAAGTCTGTCTCAAATTAAAAATATAACCTTGATAGATAATTTTTTTCTTAGGTGGTAAGACATAAAAATATTTAGTCATAAAATATATCATAACTTTGATTTTCATATATTGTGTTGGTAGAGTTACATATCTATGTACATGACTTTTATTGAAGACCCATAAAAACATATATAATTATATTATATGATCAAAGTCGATAAGGAGTTTCGTGTAGAGGATTGGTCTCTTCGTTCATGATTATAATAGAGATCTCTCTAAATTTCCACATGATAGCCCACGTTGAGAATTACTTTGGAATATGCATACAGCCTGGAGATAGATTTATTCTGATTAGATTAGATAATAAACTGGTTTGATTAGTTGGACCATCGGCTGATTTAAATTCTAATAAAAATAAATTTTATTCCTTCCCAAAACTACATTAACATTTAATAGTTAAAATATTTTTTTATTAGGAAAAAAATTAAGGGTCCTTTGCCTTTCAAGATCCAGCGGAGCAGATGAGCAATCGGCGCTGGGAGCTCGAGGTGGTGGAGGTGGACCACTTGTTGTGACTGAAAGAGCACCCGGCGTGACAATGGACTGAGGAGGAGCGGCGACAGAGGGATGTGAGAGATGGCCAAGGGAGAGAGAAGACTGAGGATGGGGTGGTGGCTGTGACTCGAGCAGAAAAGGCCCAAAGGGTTGGAACAAGGAGAGTTGGATTTAGGTTAGGGTTGTGGGCTAGCTGGCACTCGATCCTATTAGCAGAGGCATGCCTCTTAAGAGATCCGTCTCTAAAACTTGTGAGTTGGTTGTCTCTGTAAATAGAATGAACGCCTCTAGAAATCATTGTTCATTTTTCAAGATTAGAACATTTTGAGCCTGCCTCCGTAAATGAAAATGCTTGTCTTCTAAAATCAGTTTTGTACTAGTGTTAGCATTTTCAAAACATTTATTTAAGGTTTTCTGTTGCTTCCTCACCACGTCACTAGATCTAACACATGTGCAATGTTAGTTTTCACCTAGTAGCAATAGATATATGTATTACCTTAATAACTCCATTTTAATAGTACAACTAACTATCGTAAACCCGATCAATTACTTCTTTACTACACCTAATGCTAGTGTCGCGGGGTCAAAACCATGGCAAGCATTGTTGTTCGTGGTAGTGTCAGAGTGTGTGTCTCTGGTGTCTCGGGTGGACTCAAGAACACAAGAATCACAGAGGGGATGCAACAATTTATCCTGGTTTGGGTAATCGATGCCCCACGTCTAGCAGCAGATGATCCTTATACTCAAGAGCACACAAAATCTGGGGGGTTACAACAGAGTGTAAGGGAGAAAGATAGAGATTTGGTAGGGGATCGCTCGGTGCTGACCATAGGGATGCATCGTCGTTGGTGGAGCATTCCCCCTCGCCGGAGAGGAGGAAGATAATGGGTGCGGTGGAGGAGCTCTCGGTGCCCCTCTTTGGGTTGCTCTGCTCTCAAAGCAGAGCTCAAGGGGAACAGTGAGGACTCGAATGATCTATCTCGGATCATCCTCCCCCCTCTTAGGATCCGACCTCCCCCTTATATCTCGAGGTAGGTAGGGTACATGGCGGTTTGGTGGAGTTAAGCCTATGGTCTACATGCACCGGAGTCTAGGAGGGTCTTACAGCGGCGCCGTGTGGACCCTGGCGATGTCGTGGAGCCAAGGAAGCTCTGGATGTCGTCCGACTGCTCTGTTCTGACACGCTAAGTGTCAGGCTATGTCGGCTTACACTGTCCTCCACCAGGTGCACATTCTAGAGGCTTCTTGGTGGCGAAGGAGGCCGGCTCGAGGGGCAGACGCATGGGACCCAAAGCCCCCGAGCCCCTAGAGCTACTAGAGGAGTTTGTCTTCTTGTGTCATGCCCCGTGCGTGACCCAGTTGGAGGAATGGTTGATGGAGCCATGCTCGTGGGGTAGAGCTGGGAACCCCTCGAGCCTTGGTGGCTCAGGGTGCACCTTCTCATGCATGATCCTCAGCTGGTACCGAAGGCCAGGATGGAGCCAAGGATCGGATCCATGCTTTCGTTGATCGAGAGCATGAGGCTCGGGTGAGCCTCCGAGCCTCGAGCCCCGAGCATAGGCGTCGGGCATGCTTGGGCTTGGCCTAGTTCATTGGTCTGATGATACGTGCGAGCGTATCTGATGGGTATAGCCCCTGAGCCCCCGGGTGATCCTAGAGGGGTCGATCGGGGGGTCTCTTGCTCGGGAACCTTTAATCCCGAGGCTTAACATACCCCTATGTTAGGATCTCGTCAGGAGCCCCCGAGCCCTTCATGGCCTCACTTGGCCAGCTTCGTTATGGTGATGAAGGGCTGAATTCGATCTTTTGGTGACCGAGCTAGCCATAGCGGGGATGACTTCCACTAACAAGAGTGCGATGCCCTTCGTGGGGCCTTCCCAAGTGTGATGGGGGCGCTCGGCTATCGGGGCTGAGCGATGGTGATGCTGACCCCTTTTTTGACCTATGTTGCATAAGTTTGTGGCCCGAGCATGGTTCTGGCAGACTCGTCTAGGAGTTGTCGGCCTTGGGC